GGGCACACGGATTGGGTTCTTTTTCGGTTCTTTTGAATGCCCGCCTATTATACTGATTAAACAGTACATTACTCAGTTTCTTTGTGCAGTTAGACCTGCGCCCAGGCCAAAGCGTGGCTCTTCATACGTTACACAGACCTGGACACAAGTCCAATTGAGGTGACTGCGAGCTCGGTTTTCTCTTGAAGTTAAAGGGCGGACGAACAACCCCCAAAAACTAGGTTTTTCCCGGTTTTTTCAGCTGTTCTACTCACGTCCAAGGCGACCTTTGCTCCTATCGAAAAAGCGAGCTCGCAGTGCTCTACGCTGGGTTTACAGCCTAACCCACACAACAAACCGAATACGAATCGCATCAGCCACCCCCGATATCTAGATGTCCGAAAATGGCCCCTCCAGCGGCTCTGCAGCGCCTGCTGCAGCCCCCGCACGTGACCCTACCAAAAAAAAAAAACGGAGGTCCGCTTTCGGCAGCAGCAGGCGCGCTGCACGAAATCTGAGGAAAAGTGGAGATAAGTTTGAAGATAGGACGGGGAAGTCTGTAGCCGAGGCGTCAGCAGCAAATAACACGCGGCGCGCTATCGAACGTGGCAGCCTCAACGTCGTGGAGAGAGTGCTGGAGGAAACGAAGGAGGAGTTGGTCAAGAGTAAGAAAATTGCGGTAGAGAGCCAGGCTAGCTGCAACATGGCGATGGAGTTTGCGCGCGAGAAAGACGATGAGCTCAAGCGCGAGCGGGCACGGAGACAGCAGGCGGAGCAAGAGAAACATGAGGCTACGCGAGAGCAGGAGGCGGCGGCCGCGAGTCGGCGGCAGGCGGAAGAGAGAGTCCGCGACATGTCGAAGGAGCTGGCCGGTCTGAAAGACTCGGTGAAATCGCTCCGCAAGACCAACGCCACCCTCTTGGAGGATGCAGGGATACCAATCGTCGCCGACGATCCGCCCCCGGAGGAGGACAGCACCCGCAGCCTCGAGGATGAACTCTTGCTCGAGAAGGTGAAGGCCGAAAGACTGCAGCGGAAGGTCGATTACCTCACGCCGATCGTGGCCGGACTCAAGCGACAAGTTTCCAACGAGAAAAAAAAGGTGCGTGCGTGCGTGCGTGCGTGCGTGCGTGTGTTTTTTGCAGTTGTTTTTTTCCCGTAAATTTTTACGAGTAGAAGTATGTTTTTTTATATAGATGTCAACTTTATAGAACGTTTAGTACTACCTGCTGCTGGCTGCTGTGAGTCTACATGAGGTAGCTCTGGTGTCCCTGCTCATTTGTAGTATAGCTATTATATTTGTATGCTTTATTTTTTGTTACAATGCCGTGATGTAGTTGTGCGCGCTGTAGCGCACGGATTCAAGCAGAAATTTAGCTGTTGTACACGGCGGAGTATACAAAAATCCGCTTCCGCTGCTGCTGTACTGCCTATTCGATCATGTTGCAGACGAAGCGAGCCAAGCTTAATCTTGGGAACCTCAAGGCTGACGAACCGGTGGGGGGGGCGGAGCAAGAGGAACCTGAGCAGGAGAGGGAAAAGGGTGGTGGGGAGTTGCTCTCTGCAGAGGATGAGAAGAAGGTGTTGGAGCGCGTCATCAAGAACCGTCTCAAACCCGGCGGAAAATTTGGTGAGACTGCTGCCAGGCTATTTCAGTCGTTTGTGCAAGGGGGCGTCTCTCTCAACATGACGCAGCAGCTGCTTCAGTCTACCATGTACCACACCACGGGGGTGCGACTCAAACAAGATCTCAACATCACGTGTGCCCGCAACACGGTCAAGGTTCTTGCTCTCGGCATTACGCAGCTAGATGGGAATGAGTTGGTCAAAGCGATTCTCAAGGCGCCGTTTTTGCTGATTGCCGGTGACGAGTCTCTCCGCAACGGGGACAAGAAGTTCCCCATCTTCGTCGCTTTTTACGACGTGGAGGCGGACGCGCCGTGGTTTGGATTGGTGCGCGTATGTAGCATGAAAGACAAGACAGCAGAAACACAGGCTCAGCTTTTTTACGAGACGATCGTCGACACGCTCGGGTACCCAAAACACCAGGTGCTCTACGTGTTGAGTGACAACACCGCGTCTGTTTCCTCTGAGGGGAAGGGTTGTGTGAAGCTGTTGCAGAGAAAGCTACGGGGAGAGGATACCACCAAAAAATCCACAAAAAGAGCTACAGGAGGCACCAGCAGCGGCAGCAGCAGCAGTGGTCGTGGTGTTCAGCAACGAAACGCACCGGCGGCGGCGGCCGAACGGGCGGGGGCGGGCGGGGGGCGGGCCAAACGCAAACAAACCGCCGCTGCAGAGGGAGCGGACAAAAGGCAACGCAAACGGGGTGCAGGGGGGGGGAAAGGGAAAGGGAAAGGGAAAGGGAAAACAGAGGCACCGCCGACTCCTCCTGCACCTACCAGGACGAGTGGTCGCAACAGGACGCAGACATGGAAAATCCAGGAGGCAGATGGGGGGGGCAGCTCGGCGGAAGAGAGCGGGTGTGAGAGCTGAAGCGTTTCACTGGTGTTGATACTTGCGTTCTTCAGAGATGCTCGCGTCTCTATTTGCAACTAGATGTCATGTGTTGGATGCGTTTTGTTGTGGAGGTCATGTGGTGGTGGGAGGGTTGTTTTCAGTAGCTTCCTTCGTACGCGTGAGGTCTTTTCGCGTGTGACCGAAGTTGAAGTTGAACGAGAAGTTTTGTGATTTTTGATGCGTTCGTGCGCGTGAGCACGCACTCAACAAGAGCGTTGAGAAGCATGGTGTGAGAGATAGCAAACGACGCTCGACTCTGTCGTTATCTACCTGCGGCCTTCTGAGCTGCAGCCTTCGTTTTGTACACATGATGGTGGTGTTGCACACGGAGAGGCAGAGCGATAAAATGATGTTTGTGAAAGTAATGTTTCGCTGTTGATTTTTTTCCGACGATTTTTTTCCGACGATTTTTTTCCGACGATTTTTTTCCGACGATTTTTTTCCGACTTGAAAGCAACGTCACTCAACCGCCGTCCACATTTACTCCGACTCTAATTCTGCTGCGGTCACCCGCGGCCGCCGATTCCCTTCCTTCTCTAACGTAACCAGCAAATCATCTGCAGCTTCCGGTTCCAATACTCTTTTTCTGCTCAAGTTTTCGGCCGGTTTTCGTGCGTGGGAGACAGCCTTTGCTTCCCTTGCCTTCTCCAAAACCTTTTTGCCAGCGGCACGGATTTTTTCGCCCGTCGCATCTGCGCACACGATATCTCTAGACTCGGCTGACTTCCACCCCCCAACACGAACAATATCCATCTCAGCCATGTCCGTCTTCTGTGCGCATGAGTCGAACTTCGAAAAGAAGGCTTCGATCAACTGCTGGTGAATGGGAACAAAGTAGAATCGGTGACACACCAACTTGTACAGGAGGGGAAAATCGAACAGACGCGCCAACGCTGACGTACCCTTTGGTGCACCCTGGTCAACCTCCTTGTCACCCCACCCAGAATTCGCATACTGCTCGAGTTCGTTCCTCACAGAACGGTCGCTATCAATGCGTGAAAACAGCCCGAACGTCAACTCATCTTTCCTTCTTGCATCGGTGGTTCCCCCCAAATCCTTCACGAGCTGCGTTCGGTATTCCCTCTCCCTTTCCGTGCGCGGCTCTCCCTCGTATAGAGCAGACCAAGCTACATGAAGGAAGGCACGCGCAAACTCCGGCCCCACCGCCTGCTCTACAGCCCCTTCCCCCATGATTCCTGTCCGAGCGAAAAACGAGGGGCATCCAATCCGCGCCATGCTCAGAGGTAGCTGCTGATGCCGCTCCATCCACTTGATCCATCGCTGCTTGAACTCGGCAAAAAAACCCTTGTCCTCACTGAAGTTTGTCATGAATAATTTCGCCTGCAGCACGACAGCGACAGCGTTTGCGACCAGTTCAAGCGGTAAAAACATTAGTGTCACCAGGCAAAAAGCAGAAGCAGTGGCACCAGTACTAGCGACAAGCACCAGCCGTTACAAGCAGTGAGAGGTAGTGGCGCGACAAGCAGAGGGAGGTAGTAGCAGCAAGAGGGTGCGGAGAAATGTGGAGGGGGTAACGACGAAAGCAAGTTGATGAGAGAGAAAAAAACGTGAAAATTCGCGATATTGCAAACCACCACGGCCGTTCACACAGCAGCAGCAGCAGCAGCAGCAGCAGCTCCAGGCTGAACCCCTCTCTGTTCCAAACTGCAATACTCAGGCCCGCCACCACTCACCATCGCTTCAGATAGGGTTGTTTGAACGCGTTCCAGGACCGCTGCGAAGTAGGTCTTGGGGTCCTTGCGGATAGTCTCCAACTTGACCAGCAGCAGGCGAGAGAAATCAGCCACCTCCACCAAACGCATCCCAGGAAACAGCTGCCGACCGACCCCTTCGCCCTTCAAAAAGAACCCGCCCTTGCCACGAATCCAGTTGTACGCCCAGTCGAACAACAGCTCCCCGAGCCTTGCCGTGAACATAACATGCACACGAACCAGAGGGTCTCGCAGCATGTACGCCGATTGGAGCCAGTAGTTCCTGAATGTGGTCTTGTTGAGGTTGCGAGCAGCGTACTCGCAAAAAAGCCACTCAACCTGCTCCCAGCGTTTACACAGGAGCATGAGCCCCGTCCATAACCACCATCCAACGCGTCTCGGCAGGTCTGACCAACTTGATGAGCCATGGCTTCGCGTCCGGGAACTGCTGCTGCACTACCCTCTTCCACCGCTGAAAATTGGCGTTCGAGGATTCCGAGCGGCTTGTGTTGTACCAAACCATACCAAGAAGGGAGAAAACATGGTCGCGCTCCCACTCATGCCAGGAACCCTTACCAAGCGGGCCCATGAAGTACACACTAGTCATGCCCGCAGTGATAGAGATGTGCAGGACGTGTAGAACACACCCCAGGCGATGCGCGTGAATGATGGGCGGCTCAACCTCGCTGCCGCCGCCGCCGCCGCCGCTGCTGCAGCTGCTGCCGTTTTTTTCAGCAGCAGTAGCGGCGGCGGCAGGTGTCGGCGTGGCTTCACCGCCCGGCTGCTGCTCGGGTGTGTTATAAGGCATGTGTTGTAGAGTGGAACCGCGCAGAGGTGTTGTGGTTGTGCCCACAGCAGCAGTGCATATCAGAGCTCACACACGAGCGGCGCAACGGCGCCCTCGCGCGTACACGTCAGCTGTTTTTGGGGAGCTTTCGGACCGTTCCGTGCAATTTAATTGGCCAGCTGATTTTCCATCAGCAAGATCCGAGGTCGTTTTTTCAAATTTTTTCCTATAGGAAATTTGGCCGATTGACACCCCTAACTGTTCGTGTTGGTAACTTGTGGACATAAAAGCCCACTTTGAATGGCGAACGGAGGATCCATCAAAAAGGAGACAGCATCAAAAAGGAGACAGCTGTCACAGCCCGCCAAAAAAAAGAGGGTGTGAACGCGACATTGGCAATACATGCCCCAATCCACGTACCCGACAAGGCGGTCGTGCACCAGGCCTCGGCTACACACAAGCGGGGCCGGGATTTTTTTCCACACCACAGTGTCGAATGC